ATTCCCCGGGAAAAAAGTAGATGAAGCATTAAAGTGACCAATTGCTTCTGTCTGCTTTCTGTGTCTAGGATGAATGGAGCTTCACCTCCACACTGCTTGGCCATTTTAATTACATGGAGTACAAGCAAAGATATTTTACTTTAATCTGTTATGATCATGACAAAACAACCAGCATTACCACAATCTATAACTGTCATTAAAGAAACTGTATTACTGGTCATACATACTATCTTTATGGCTGAGTTCTTCATGAGATTTGCTAGATCGAGTGAAAGCAGGCATGCGGCACACCCAGTGTTCGAGACCACCCGAACCTGACGAGCTTGTGGAAGCAGCAGAGCTGTAACTGGTACCAAGCCCACGTCGCTGATAGAACAAGATGTAGGCTGCTGCTGTCACCAAGCTTGTGTCTGTTACTGGATCCACACATGTATCATCAAAACAATACCACTGTGTGTCATAGGGGTTGCGGCAGTATGCTGAATAAACACAGAACAAAGGTCGATACCATCATAAAACCAAGTAATATAACATCAACAAAACCTGGAATAAAAAGCAGCTGAAGACACAATGGAGAACTGTTGGAATTTTACAATACTGTACGTTGACAATAGTTGTCTTTGAAACAAACGTGCAAGTTTCCACTGTAAATATAATTCAAATGCCCTAATACATTATGAATGTAAAATAAATATATTGGGTCAACAAAAAAGAATGCCGTGTATTAATAAGTTATATATAACAAAATAATAAGCCCTCACAGATTACCAACAGTTGTATAGACTTCAATGTGGTCACCATTTTGGAAGCTGATGCCAGTTAATGCCACTAGTTATGACATCAAAATAAACATCTTAAAATATGGGACATCTGGAAACTTGTCTGCAAGAATTTTCCACTAGCTAAGCATGAATTCTTGAGTGCATTCATTGAGCCCTGAAGTATCATTTAACTCCATACCTGTATAGTGACCACCCTGGAGGTCCTGACCATGGTGATTGCAGATGGCATACAGGTCATACACATTGTCATCATGGCGAAGTGGTGTTCGACGTGGACGTTTCCATGGGGACCAACCCAGACCACCCAGAAGTCCTCCACTGCCAGGAGGTGAGCCCAGCATACTCGGGGGAGCCACAGAATTGCCTGGAGGAGCGGGCCGGTTGGCTAGATGTGGACTCATGTCAAAGCCATACAGTGGGAAATCCACCAGTGTCGTCAGTTTTGCCGGAGCTCTCTGCTTTGAAGAATGCTGAAATGATTTTCATACCACATTTAAACAAAATGCACATAATATTTTTATATTCATGCCCTTTAGCTCAATTCCAAATTATAATACAGCAAAATCTTGTAGTCTTAACTAATTTAGCCCCCAGTGGCTAAAATGTCCCTCTCTGTAACTTCTCCAAAAAAATGCCAATGGCTGAAATAACATCTAACTTTTAACATGCTTATAATTATAAGCTTATCCACACACATGTGCATACTTGTTGATAGATACACTATATTAAGGAAAATTGAAGAATAACAATATAACATAAATACATTCTCACCTGTCTGAATCGCTTGAGATGAATAACCAGAATATCTGGTAATGACCACAGTCCTAGCTTCTTCACTACCTCCTGCTTTCGGTTACAGTTTGGACAGTGCCATGCATCTTCTGCACCCAAAACCTCTGCTCTCGTATATAGCTGGGAAAACAAACATTTATGTTCAATGGACGTGAAAAGGAACTGACTTCAATGAATAAAACAACTGAAGAGAAGAGAACTGTTATTTTCTCAGGAACTTATACTGTATTCCAGTGTTAATGCCCGACCTCTGTGATATATGTTCGTCAAGGTTAGACAAGAGTAGAAGGGTGTATTCTAAATTGAAAATACATATATTTTCCATATGCATTCTCTGCAATACTACATACCTCACTGACACTGATATTCATTTAATGCAGATATACATTTACTATAACTGGTACAGTATAGTGTCGTCAGTACTGTTTTTTGTTTTCTTAAATATTCGCCACAGCAAAGACACCGAACATGTGAAATCATATGTTGTTTTGAAAAAGTCTGAAATTCTGCTTAAAGAATGCAACAAAACTAATCTTAATGCTTACTTCACACTGCTGTTTGCAGCCACTTCAGTTTACAAAACCAGTTTTCAACCAGTGACAATAAACATAATGAAATTAACTTGAATCAGAACCATCACCTCAAAACATTCCTCGAGGGTAACAGCACCGCCCTGCTCAGTGTTGATTTTCAGCTGTTTCACACTGGTATGCTCCTCCATCTGGTCACTGTCATCTGCAATGGTGCTGCAACCATGAAATAAAATATCACCACATACTAAATAAAAGTAAATAATAAGTTAGTTTTGATGATATTAAGGCAACAGTTGCTTTCAATGGTTGTCGAGCTAAATTATATAAAGCTGAGATTATATTCTTTAAATAGGTGTGAAACTATGTATCTTATTACAATGAGAAAAGTATATACTGAGGATGTTTCAGAATGGGAGAGGACATGAAGGAGATGAAACAACAAAGGACTGAAGAACATAAAAATGAAGAGCTTTGTAATTTGCGCTCAGTGCTTAATGTTCATGTCTTCACCTAATGCTGACAAGGAAAATAAAGCTTTTTTAAACATGGCACAGCACATAAATTAAAGTATCTGACAATATAGCCTCATCTGGAATAATAATTCTTTGTACCTAACATAACAATGCACAATGACAATTTATAAAACAGATTTTATATCAATTCTAACATTTACCCCTGACAAACAGGCTCTTACAAAGAGATACAACAGCAAAATCCAAGAAATGGCTGTTAAATTTTTGAGAAGTACTGAGGTTAAAACAAAGATGGAACAGAATTATAAAAAAAAAAATTCTGAGAAGAAAAGAGAATCCAAAAATCTGTTAACAAAATTAGAACAGAAATGACTACAATGAGTTCAACCACGTAAAAAGAATGGGTAGAACAAGAATTCTGAGATGGGTATTACAATTATAATTCAAAGGAATGAGACCCATGAGGTGACCAAGTACAGGACAGTTCAGCTAAATACTAGAAGACATCAAGAAGAGATTGAACAGTTGGCAAGAAATCAAGACAAAATAATAGCAGAGTTTTCATCCACCAAATTATATAAAACAGAAATGATGTTAGAAGAAACACATGATATGTTCTGCCACATACCCCTCCTTTCCTTGCAAGTCCCATTCCAAGACCAGTTTGAGATGTGGAGGTCCAGCATCTTCTTCACAGAGAGCCAGTGCCTGCTCAACAGCTTCCATGTACAATGGATGATCCAGTGTAGGATCAAGATATACTGGCGTACCATCACCTAGTCCATCCACTACTCGCATATGGAACAGTGGAATCTGCGAACACAGTGACAAGTGCTTAGTGAAAATGGCTCCTTGTCTTCTTGGTTATGACGTCTACCTCAGAAAAATCATACTTTATAATGGAAATATTTAAAAATTGTATGAAATTTTTCAAGTTTGGCTGTACTGAAGCCATAATCAAGTAAAAGAAACTTTACATACATCCTGGGAATTGACAAGAATGTCATCATGTAGCACAGCATTCATTTCCTTGAGTATCAGCTTCTGGAGATCCTCA